TATTTCCGAATATGAAAACAAAACATGGACTTTTTTAACCTGTACGAGTAAGGTATTTTCAAATTTACGATTTTATTTTTATTAATTATTAATTATTTTTATTTAATTTATTTTTAAAAGAGGACACCTCTATGGAAAATCTCTGGATCCGCCACTGGACCGACCCTTTCTTCTTGATCCCCATAATCGACATCTTCCCGCGCATGGTCGCCGTCGCGGTAAGGTTCAGACTGCCGCTAACGATATCGTTGATCGCCTTGGGGTTCTCCCTCAGCTTCTTGGCCCGCAGGGTCGCGTATGCCGTGATGTTCATCGACGCATCCTCGGGGATGGTGTCGGCCAGGATCGGGACCCATCCCACGAGCTCCCCGTCGTAGGTTATGTGGCTGGTCGTGTTCTCGAACTTGAAGCTGCCGTGGTTCATGTTGCGAATGCTCATCACCATTTCGCTGGTGATGGTGTCCTGAGTGATGAAGTCGTCTAGCTGGAGCTTGGCTAACCCCGTGGGATAGAGGACGAGGTCCGGGTCGTGTCGCTTGAACACGGTGAAGGCGAGAGTAACTAAAACTACCGTGGTGATGACGGCTATAACCGTGGCTGATATGCAGCAGAGTTTGATGGCGTAGTTCTTGTCCTTCAGCATGGTTGGTAGTCTGTGGGGGAAGAAGAGAATGAGAAGGATTGAGTTGGGTAAGAAATTAAATGATTTGTTGGTTGATATGAGAATAAGAGAGGTGCCCTTTCAGTGTGGTATTTAAGAGGGCGAAATGGAATTGTATATTCATGACTACAAATTAGTTGATGCGAATTGGACGTAGGAGAATGGAACTTCGTCGGTCGCTAATATGCTGGTTCCCGAACGCTACTAGGAGAATTAGTTTTGGTTATCTTGTGCAGAAGCAGATCCGGGGTTTTGTGTCTGCTAATTTGATAAGTTTCTGTGCACTTGCCGTTGCCCAAGTGGCCGATGCTTTTGGGTGGCCGAAAGCGCATATAGGAATAAATAGCGGTAGGATATGATTCAATATCTGAATCTTTTGCAACGAGTTTTTGGGATAGATATATAGCCCATTCATTTCACACATCAATGCCATTGGTATCTTATGACGTTCTTTTCACATATAAAAGTCATTGTTATCTTGAGCCATATGACTTTTAGTTGCATTGTATATTTGAATTGGAGTTTCGCTACCTGAAAACAAGTCGATGTATTTATATTTTTATATATGGGTCAAAAATACTTTATCATAGGCTGGATTGTGTCCAAAAAGATGGTCCAAACTTTGAAGCTAAGAAGACTATCACTACGAGAAAAGTGGTCTTTGCCAACACTATGTTTGCAACACTTATCAAAAGTGTTGCTTATAATTAACAGTGGCAACACTTCTTTTAAGTGTTACTTAAAATGTACTTTACACAACATAAATCATTCATCACTTGAATTATGTCGCATTTGCTATATTATACACAACACTTATAACCCAAATAACTTTATGTTGCTTATTCCTCCATTTTAAGCTACATTTAAACTAATAATGTTGGGAAAAGTTAAATACATGATAATTGAATGTAATCTACCAATTAAGTAATGCAAAACAATTTAATTGCATATACACGTTGCATACTTTGAAGTTTTAATTTCTTGATGTGCATTTACAAAAAAAGATTAATTTAAGCTATAATGAAGACCCTACGTATATGGGCTTCCCCATCAAACTTATTCTCAATTTTAATTTACCAATAATAAAGGAAGAAAACTCTTCCTGTCCAACTCCAAAAACGAAACGGTGGAACTCATGGGAATAGATATAGCGCGGGAATAAGGCCGAATCCCAATCGCGCGCGGGAATCAACTGCTTAATTCCATAGAGCAATTTCTACCTCATCGAATCAGTCTCTCTTCTAGGCTTCTCTTCCAGTTTCGGCTTGAAGAATCTCTCGCACAAAATCCATCTCCAAGGAAGGCTCCCAATTGGATCGTTTAGTCCCGCAAACGATTTGGTCGTGAATCTGGTAAGTTATTCGCCTCTCATCAAATCAGCTTTCCAAAATCCCTAGCAATTGCATGCAAAGAACAACAAAATCCTTGTTATCTTTTGTAATTATTGTTGACTTAAGGTATTTTCTTCCTGCCTTTTGGTTTTCGCCCAACCCTTGAACCCCTTTGAGGATGGATTGGATTTAGGGATGTAGCAACTTGCAACAAGGGTGTGTTCTGTTCTACAGAGTTCTCAACTTCTATGCATTACTAATTAAATAACGAGGAAATTGTACGAGCTTAGGAAATTCCACTTTTTGAATAATTTTATTCAGGTTAGCAGCTTAGTGTCTCTTCTTTAACTGGGAAAGAAAGGCTGGTGGTTTGAATAAAAATCATGAGCCTTTCTAGGAACTTTAGCATTGCCAACTCTTTTGACTACAAACTGTCATGTGTGCATTGAATAGGTTTAGATTCCAGAATGTGATCAAGTGGATGTCAGTAATATGGTCTTAGTACTTACTCTCCTTTGCTATGTATGATGTATCGACAAGCCTAGCGAAACAAGCAAAACTGATTTTTTTTGCACACTTTAACAGGAGATGAAATATTTTGCAGGTTGCAATTGAAATGTTGGACAAGAGTTGGGTTTCGAAACCACGAGAAAGTATTGCATATCGCAACGGAGTAGAGTACTTTTTGAACTTTGCATTTGCTAATTCAGCTGAGGGAGATCAGATTGTGTGTCCTTGTGTGGACTGTATAAACCTGTTGTGGAAAACAAGAGATATCGTACGTATGCATTTGGTTGTACGTGGATTTGCTCCAAAATACAATCAGTGGACTGACCATGGAGAAAATGATATTGAGGATATAGGAGACACCGAAGGGCTTGGTGATGATGATATGCATGGCCTATTGAATGATGTCTATGCTACGGAGAGTGGTGAAGAATCAAATGACAAAGTGAAGGAATTTTTTACTCTCATACAGGATGCTGATCAAGAATTGTACCCTGGCTGCAAGAAATTTTCAAAGCTCTCGTTCACCATTCGAGTTTATCTTCTTAAGTGCCAGAACAGATGGAGTAATGCATCAATGGACTCGCTCCTTTCCTTGCTCGTTGAGGCTTTTCCAGATGCAAAGATTCCTGCCTCATATGGTAAAATGAAGGCGATGATTAAAGGTTTAGGTTTGACCTACAAGAAGATTCATGCTTGTCCAAATGATTGTATGCTATACTATGGTGCTGGCGATGAAAAATTGGAGAATTGCAAAAAATGTGGTGAATCCCGATACAAGTTTACAGCTGATAGTCAGGGGGATAACAGTGAAGATGGCACTAGTTCCAAGAAACAAATTGCAGCCAAGATTTTTTGTTACTTTCCCTTGATACCGCGACTCCAAAGGTTGTTCATGTCCTCCAAGACCGCTGAATTTATGAGATGGCATGATGAGAAGCGAGTGAAGGATGGCAAACTTAGACATCCTGCAGATGGTCAAGCTTGGAAAGACTTTGATAAGTTACATCCTGAGTTTGCAGCTGATTGCAGAAACATCAGGCTCGGCATTGCTGCAGATGGGTTCAATCCATTCAGGAATATGACTAGTTCTCATAGCACATGGCCGGTGATAGTTTCCATTTACAACTTACCTCCATGGATGTCCATGAAGCCTGAGTACTTGATTTGTCCTCACTTATCCCGGGGCCAAAATCACCGGGGAATGATATCGATGTGTACTTACAACCTTTTGTTGATGAGTTGAAGACCTTATGGCATGAAGGAGTGATGACATATGATGCACATAGTAAGCAAATGTTCAACATGCATGGTTGTTTAATGTGGAGTATCAGTGACTTCCCAGGATTGGCCATGCTATCTGGTTGGAGTACAAAAGGATACTTTGCTTGTCCTAGTTGTAATTATGACACATGCTCTCAGTACTTATATAAGAGTCGGAAAATATGTTACATGGGGGCACGCAGATTTCTTGATGCGAAACACAGGTGGAGGAAAGACAAAAACTCTTTTGATGGCAAAATAGAGCTTAGCCTGAAGCCGAAACCGTTATCTGGTTCGGAGATTAAGGAACACTTGATTGGATTCATCAACGACTTTGGCAAGGAAGAAAAGAAGATAATTGAGAAAAGAGGTGCGTTCTCGAAGTTGTCTATTTTCTTTGAATTGCCTTATTGGGAGCATAATACACTACGTCATAACCTTGACGTTATGCATATAGAGAAGAATGTATGTGACAATGTTTTGGGAACGTTGTTAGACATTCCGGGAAAGACCAAGGATCATTTAAATGCTCGTCTAGATTTAAAGGATATGGGAATTAGAAAGAGCCTTCATCCAAGAGAATCTGAAAATCCTAAGAAGAGTAAGTTGGTGAAAGCTTGTTATACACTGGTTAACCATGAAAAAGAGATTTTTTGTGGGGTCTTAAAAGGCGCTAAAGTACCAGATGGTTGTGCATCCAATATATCTCACTGTGTGAATGTGAAGGAGAAGAAAATCTCTGGGTACAAGAGTCACGATGCTCATTTTATTATGCAGTACTTGCTCCAAGTTGCGGTACGTAGAACTTTGCCAAAGAATGTGGCTATCGCTTTGATCAGACTTGGTTCATTCTTTAAGGCTGTTTGTCGAAAGGTGATAATCTTGAGCGAATTAGATCACTTGCAAACTGAGATTGTTGAGACACTGTGCCAATTAGAACGTATATTTCCACCTAGCTTCTTTGATATAATGGTTCATCTACCTATTCACTTGGTGGAAGAGATTAGACTTGGCGGGCCCGTGCAAACTCGATGGATGTACCCGATCGAGAGATTTTTGGGTGTTTTGAAAGACTATGTAAAAAATAGAAGTCAACCAGAGGCATGCATAGCTGAAGTGTATCTAGCTAATGAATGTTTATCATTCTGCTCAAGGTATTTGAGTGAGGATGGTGATACAAGATTCACTCGACCTTCAAGAAATCACGAAGAGATGGGTGTGGAGGAAAATGCAAAAGCTTTATTCCCAATTATTGGCCGACCAATTGTATCAAAAAGAAGTGGGAAGGGTAAGATTGTTGAATTGGAAAATAGTATTATGGACCAAGCTCGACGATATGTCTTATTCAACTGTGAGGATAACTGTCCAGAAATATCAGCATATCTCAAGTAAGTAGTTGATTCATTCTTCTTGAACTTGAGTTGCTGCATTGTTCTATGAATTTGATATCTTTTTCACATAAATTACAGAGAGTACGAGCAACCACCATTCAAGAAGCGCAAGGGTGGAACCAGGTGGATAAAAGAGAGAACCCAATCACAAGATATAGTACAATGGTTAGAGTCTCGGGTCGAAAATGATGGGGCTGCTTCTGACACTATCAAGCAAATAGCTTTTGGACCGAATGATGCCAATGTTCAGAGTTTCTCTGGATACATTATTAATGGCTATAGGTTTCATACTCTAAAGCATGATAAGCGTCGCCAGACACAAAGTAGTGGAGTAACATTAACAGCCATGACATCTAGTTTTGCTAGTGCCAGAGATAAGAGCCCGGTGCTCGCTAATGTTGCTTATTATGGGGCTATTGAAGAGATTCTCCAGTTGGATTATTATGGACACTTCAAAATTGTCTTGCTCAAGTGCAAGTGGTTTCACTCGGAAAGGGATGACTACGGGCTTATTCGGGTCAATATGAAGAAATTATTATACCAAAATGACCCGTTTGTCATGGCAAATCAGGTAAGCCAAGCATTTTATGTACAAGACCCCGTGGAACAAGATTGGCACTATTTCATGGAGGCAATCCCTCGAGACTTATTTGACATGGGAGCTGAAAGTTCATTGGATGAGGCTGCTTCTTCTTCACAGGAGTTTAGAGTTGATGATTTGCAGAATGTTGTACCAGTTGATAACAGTGACATTCAATGGTCACGGGAGGACGTCGACGAAATACTAGTTGACAACCCTGAAGATACTGCTATGCAGGATGATCGTGCTCCAACTGAGACTGAAGTGATGGAGAATGAACACTCAGGTGAAGCTGAAATGATGGAGCATGTACATAAACACTCAAGAGAAGCTGAAATGTCAGATGATGATGAAGACGGTTTCTCAAGTGAAGAAGAACCTGCAGATGATGTAGATGAATACTCTGACTGGTTGGTTAATCATTACACACTCAAACTTTGATCATGGTATCTGGTTTTGATGCTTAATTGTAGAAGTCGAAATGACACCCTATTAAATGGGTTGATGTTTTTTTGTCCTACAGATGTGTTCGAGGATTCAGAGAGTGCAAGGACTTAATCAAGCTCCTGAGGTAACTACTCACTGCTGCTTTTCTGTTTTTGTTTTGCTAGTACTTTTGCTGCTATCTTAGAAAGACCTAGATGGACTATGTTAATCAGAAGGGTGAGATAGTTATGAGTGGAGAACATTGGTCTTTGAATTTTGCTTCATTGTTTGAATTTTGTGTTTCTCTTGTTGTGTGCAGGTTGATGAGTTAGTTGACGACTGCATTCTTGGGAAGAAGAAGCAGCAACCTTGTGTTTCTCTTGTCGTGTGCAGGTTGATGAGTTAGTTGACGACTTCATTCTTGGGAAGAAGAAGCAGCAACCTTGTGTTTAGGAATAGGGATCTATCGTGGCTACTATTGTCTGCTGTGTGGAGTTAACGTTTTGTCATGGGTTGGTTGGCCACTGCTGCTTTTTCTGTTTTTGTTTTGCTAGTACTTTTCCTTGCTTGCAGCAATTGAAAGTTAAGATGGGTTGAGAACACTAGAGGCTTGCTGAAATTGTTCTATTAGGATTGACATTTCAGAGTTGGCATCTTCTGGTTGTCTATTTTGGTTTCTCTGTCCTTACTCAGAAACAACAGAACTTGAAAACCATATATTTTGCTGTGTTTTTAGTCTAATGTTTCTTTTCTACATGAATTCCTTATTATGCTACAGCTACCCGTGAAAACCCTCAGATTGCTCCTTTGCCGCATAATTCCAAAACTAAACCACACAGAAAAGTTGTATACTTGTATTAATGGGGGCAATCCTTAACAGGTCCTTCAGAAGCGAGCTGTCAAAGAAAATCACTTATATGCATAAGAACCACGTTGTTTATTAATAGAAACTATAAAAAGGTATACCAAATAGAGTTTTAATGAATTGAAGTGAGTTGAGCAAACTTTTGGAACTTCGAGCTAAAGATAACATATTCAATAAGAAACTGAAATCTTCTAAATGAAAATTTTGACGAGGCCTATTCCGCTGTATCTGAGTTGGGCATTTCATTCTCAATGCTCCTGTTAGCCTCTGTAGGATTGTTCACCAGCAAGAAGTCAAACATGTCCTGAGGGATGACAAGAGATGGGTTGGATTCCTTCAACGAGGCCATAGCATTGCGCAATCCATTTGACAGATGAGATGTTTGTTGATCCAGCCTTTTTTGCACATCTTCAGGCAACATAGATGGATTTGCAGACGTCCCTTTTTCTTGATATATCGCATCAGCACCTTTGTGTTTCCTCTTTAACATGCTTGGAGTCACGCCTCGTCCATGGAATCGTAAATTTGGCCTCCACACTATTTCTTCTTGTTCTTCTTCTCCTTCTCCCACAGAGTGCTTCTGTAACTCCTCAAATTGAACCTAAAAAGTAACACAGTATGAGATGATGTAATTTTTTAAAACATGTTATATGAGATCAATTCTTACTCTTGTATTTTCGTCCATTTCGGGACCTTCATTCACTTTACGAGTTTTGAGAAACATTTCGATTTCAGTTGGCTCTTCATCATTTCCCTTCTCCTTCTTCTACATTAATTGAACAAACAGATACACGAGATTTAAGATAAAAGAACTGAAACCACGGAAAGATAGTCTTTAGAATAGTCTACCAGCTGATGGCATTGTCGTGCATAGTATGTGTATGATACAAATCTAATCATGTCGTTTGTGGATAGATTGTCTTCAGTCCTCCTTAAACAACTTCAATCTTCTTGACTAGTAACAATTTGTATGAATACTTAATGCAATTATGAATTCTTTTTCTATAAAATTATTTGAATTACCCACTCATGTGTTGACATCGATTCAAAATTGAATTAAATTAAAGATTTCAAACTTCGCCCTTATGATGTTGTTGACTATGTAGTTTGGAAATAGCATGAGAGTTGGGTTTGTTGTTAAATAGTAGTGTTTAAGAGAAACTATATATATTAGGTTAACATAACGGTGGAAAGAGGAGAGTTAGGCGCCCATAATCTGTGAATTGGCGCCAAATATTATATGTACAAGTAGTTTACCTAATAAATGAGGATAATTATATCATTCCATTATAATTAGTAAAATACTTGTGAAATTCATTTGGAGATTCCACCTAAATTCCTAGGAATTGCTATAATTAGTTTCAATTTCGTAAAATTCAAAATTTAGAGTTGGAAATGAATCATTTAAATACCAAACACAAAATGATTTCATTTCAAAATGAATCCTCAAAACTTTAGCATTCATTTACACCAAAGGTTATGTAAATCTTTTAGTTGAAAAGACTATACTACAATGAGATTTTTCCAAACTTTGATAATTGACTTGGCAATCGGGTCAAGTTTGATAATTTCGGGTTGGTGTCCTTATTACATGTCATCACAGGCAACGACAGATTCAGGATAAGGTAGAGCACTGGGCCACATTTGAAAAGAGACAGAGGGGACTGGGCCATAATCCGACGAGAACATACACATATACCTAAAATCGAAAATTTACAAGGACCATACTAGCTCTGGATCCAGGGAGGGCTGGGCCGTGGCCCGGGGGCGGCCCCCCTAGATCCGCCGCTAATCATAGTCAGGTCATGTTGGGTAACCTGATCTCGAGACAAATGTTAACTCAATCCAAAAATCTATGATTGGGTTTTGGATCATTTCCGTGTACGACTGGTCGCAAAACAATATCAAACATGTTTCATATTTTTTAAAGCACACAAATTCACATATGGACAACAATGATTTATCTACAAATGTCAGTTAACATATTCTCAAATTCTCACATATGCTGATGAAAGGAAATACAAATTGGACACTTTGGCCAACAAAAAAATTACGAATGCAATAATAGTACAAGAATACATAATATTTTATTATCCTTACACTCCAAACTTATCTTTGAAATACTTGTGAATTTTTTGTAAACATCTCATCAACTTATGAGTGATCTCGGCTTACGGATCGTTACATATTTGATAGTAATTTGGTAGTTTATTAATTAGAGAAGTCTAATCTCAAGGATTTATAATAATAATAATAATAATAATAATAATAATGTACAACCGTAGCTAGAGGAAATTTATGTACTTTACGGAAAAGGAATAATTATAGATTAGGATCCTTGTTTAATTAATGACTTAAACTTTCCCCAAGTATACGAGCAAAACAATAACTCTCCGCTAAAATTAAAAAATCCGACTCTTCCTATTCTGAATAAATCTCTATTCCATAGCAAATCCCTAGTCCCCATTATCCCAATCGTTCCCACTGAAGTAAACAAGCTCTGCAGCAAATCTCTTCTTCTCGTCCATCGACCGCCGACACCTATTCAGTTCCCGGAAATTACAGTCGTTGCCAGTCAGCCTCGCACAAGTCTGCCGCTGCTCTCGGAGGTATTAAGTTTTTGGTTAGTATTGGCTGCAACCCAAACCATTCTCTTAATTAATTAGGTATTTAATTATTGTTTGGTGGTATATGATAGTTGTATCCGCTTCTGGTGAACCCAGGTTAGATAGAGGGATCGACACCTTCTTTGCTCCTTTTAGAGATTGGATCCATGTTAACTTAATTTTTGCTCTTGTTTTTGCTTCCTCTTTGATACTTCGTAAAGGCATCCTCCCCTGTTGTTTGGCTTGCTTTCCTTGTTGGGTTGTAGTTCTTTCTTCTGTTAATCTAAATAATTAAATAGTGTCACTCCTACAAATTCAATTGAAGCTTCTGGTCTTGCTTGTAAGATTATATAGTATTTACTAGGCTACCTGTGAAAGGGCCATCCAACCATCTACGTATGTGGCTAATTAATTAGCTTGGACGGAAGGTGGGAAATACTAAATACAAATAGATTAACAAGAAAGAACTACAGCAGCAAACATTTTACCTTTTTCCCTTTAACTACAATGAATATTTCTTTTGATAGGGGTCATGAGCTCTAATTGTATAGTGTATTCGAAAAGATCGAGATGCATGGGAGAAGAACAAGACAAATCAATTCCTTCTGATAGTGATGAGACAAGATCCCCATCAGAAAATGAAATATATGATTCGGATGAGACCCAAAATCGGT